TGGGTAAATACTAAGGAGCTACTGTTGATTTTCAAGTAAGTTTTTAGTATTATTGTCAAATTTTAGAAAAGCTCTATCAGGACCTTTTCATATGTACAATTATTTCACATGATGCTGCCAGTTGCACGTGGTGAATGGTAGGAATCCTTTTCAGTGAAAAGTTAAGATTTAGCATTCTTATCTTGATGAAATCTACAGTTCGGGCTTCAGAAGTTTCCTTGCCCAAGATAATTGAACTTGTGTGCATTGTCCCTTCCTCAACTTTTATATCCTTATAATGATCAAAGTAATTCCTTTCTTTTCTTTCAACCTAGAGATATTGGGAAAACAAATGAAACTCGTGTGTGTGTGTGTGTGTGTGTGTGTGTGTGTGTGTGTCCTCCTCATGCCACTTCTCCATCTCTTCTTCCTCCTCCTTCTCTTTCTTCTACTGTTAATTGTCATCTCAGGTCACTTAGAATACCAAGAGCATTGAATATTATGTGGCAGCTTAAAGCAAATGACATGAGTGTATGTGTGTGTGTGCATGTGTCTCATACACACAAACACACAAAGAGACAGAGAGAGAGGCTGAAATATTGAATATTGCTGGCTGTGTGCCACTTTTTTTTATGAATACATTGTCATTTGGATGAGGTTTCTTCTGATGCCCTTGCCCTCTCTGAGAGGTCCTGCTTGTCAGACACATTTCAAGCTTCTCCCTGAAAGGATGGTCATAACCTAATTCTATTGCTGGGTACTGGTCAGAGAGACACTTTCGTTCTCCAAGGGATATTCATGGATCAGCTCCAGGCATATATTGGGAAATAAGTGCTGGTTTTCTTTTTGTCTGTTAGTTATATTTGTTAGTTATCTGCATATGATCTTCACCGAATTGTTTAAATTTTCTAAACCATCTGGTGTTTTGTGGAAAAATATGTTTCCCCTGAATCCACTGGAAAGGCTTTGGTGGGCTTTCAATTCAGCTGCAGTAGCAATCTCCACGAGTCAGTAGAGAGTGAAAAGTGATCTCAATTGAATATTAACCAAAAAGGCCCTAATTGTGTTCCTGCAGAAAGACTTTGCAAGGTGAGTACTGAAAGTGTACATCAGAGCAGCACAGCAGATGCGGCAAAAGGGGTGGCTAAAGGCTTCAGCGAAAACATGATGGAGGAGAAGTAGAAAACAATAGGGTTTGAGTAAATAAATGTAAATATAATGAAGCATGTATCCAATCTAGCAAAGCTCTTGTGCTCTTGCAGCATCAAGAGTCTGACAGGTAGACTCTCTTCTTATTTTGATAATTTTTTTCAATCTATAATATATTTACATGACTGAAGTATCATACAGTAAAAAATATGTAGTATGTAGTAAAGAATCTCTTTTATACACCTGTTATGCTAATCCTAGGTTCTTATTCTAGGCCATGTTACTTTTTGGAGTGGCTTTACACAATTATAAGCAATTATACATATATATGCACATATTTCTAGTTTTCCACACACACATTCATTCATTTAACAAATATTTATTTTGGGTATGTACTCTGTACCAGGCAATGTTATATCCATCAGAGCCAAGGTAATGAACAAAACAGAAGTTCCCACCCTCCCTGATATTTCATTCTAGCAATTGAAGACAGACAATAAAAAAGAAATAAACTATAGTGTGTTAGGTGGTACAAGTACTAAAGCAAAGCAAAACAAAATAAAAACAGACAAACAAAAAACCCATGGAGCATAAACAGGAGGAAAGACAGTGTCAAGATGAGAAAGTATTTCAATTTAAAATTGGGAAATATATTTGAAAAGACCTGGTGGAGGTGAGGGAGCGAGCCTCATGGAAGCTAGGAGGAGAATATTCCAGAAATAAGTATTTCTGATCACCAGGGAAAGTCTGGAATTTTTGAGGAATTGCAAGAAAGTCAGTGTGGCCAGAGTGGAGTGAGCCAGAGGCAGAGATGAGCTCAGGGAGGCTGGGAGGAAGATACCACTGGGAAGCAATGGGAGGGATTTTGAGCAGAAATGTTTCGGCACTCTCTCTGGATTTTGTGATAAGGATAGACTGTGGAAAGGGCAGAATCCAAGATGGCCAGTTACAGGGCAGTAAAATGATTCCAGGCAAGTGATGCTGAGAACTTGAATCAGGGTGGTAGCTGTGGAGTGGATGTAATGGGGCTGATTTGGGTAAATATTTTGGAGGTGGAGCAGACAGTATTTACATGTGAGATGTGAGATAGGAGAGGTGTCCAAGGTGGCAGATTGTAGATACCATTAACTAGTCTGGGAAAGGTTTCAGGATGAGCAGGTTGCAGGGGAAGGAGGTGGAGTTCCACTTGGATGTGCTGAATTTAGGGTACCTGTTAGACAACTGAGCAAATAAGTCAAATAGTGCATCCAGATCAGGGAGAGGATCACTTTATAAATTTGGGGTAATAAGGATATAGATGAAATTCCAAGTCATCAAATGGATGTGCTCATTCAGGTAATTACTGAAGATAGAGGAAAAGAGGAAAAGTGAGGCCCAAACTGGCATCCCAGGATGCTCTACCCATCAAAGGTAGGCAAGGCAAGGAGAGAAAGGGAAGGGGACTGAGGGGTAGCCAGTGGTGAGACAGAGGGAAAGCCAGGAGAGAGTGGTGGGTAGAAGAAAGAGTGAGCTTTAAGGAGCAGAGCATGTTGGACTTGGTCAAAGGTGCCAGGTAAGATAAGAACGAGGAATGAACCAACTGGTATAGCCATGACCTTGACAAGAGCATTTTCAGTAGAGTATCAGAGGCAAAATCCTGTTTGGAACGAGTTCAAAAAAAATGGGATGAAGAAATTAGAAATAGCAAGTAGAGATAAATTGTTCAATTATTTTATTTATTTATTTATTTTTGGAGGGAGCAGAAGAATGGCATAGGCATGGAAGGGAAATGAGGGGTTAAGGGTCTTTTTTTTTTTATCAGGTGAAGTAAGAGTAAATGTCTTTGCTAATGGTAGAGAGGGGAAATGTGAGAGCAGTATTCTTATTTCTGTGATAATTTGGCTTTAGCTAGGAGCATCAAAATTTCCAGCCATGATAACAGGAAGGAAGGCTGAGTCCGGGCTGAGTCTGGTAGAGAGACACGCGTAGAAGTTCTCCTTTGAGGTTCTTCTCCCCACTCAGGGAAATAGGAGGCAAGGTCATGAATTGAGACTGAAGAGTGGGAGAGGGGTAGGAAGAAAGTCTGGCATATTTGGAGATGGAGTGGTGGGAGAGTAATGAGTAGGAAAATGAATGAGCACCAGGCATCATTATTGGTCCTCTTGAAGATGAGGGCCAATGATTGGAAATGTCACCAATAAAGCACTTCTCATTTTCATTTTTCATTAGCCAGTTTCAACTTCAGAGTTCAGGCAGTATAAAAGGAGTCAATAGTTAAAACAATTTGCACAAATGGTAGCACACTCTGCACCCATGAGTATGATAACAGTATTGGGAGGAATGGTGTAATGCAGTGGTCACCTTTTGGGGGATGATACTTCAGGAGAGTGCAGGATTTCATAGGGGTTCAGGGTAAAGTATTGAGTTCCTAGATATTTTCATTTTCCCTAATCCTTTACATATTTCTATTATGTATACTTTATAATATCCATGCTATATTAATACAATCACACCTGTTTATAATTTTTAACTCAATAAATTTAGAGATTTGGGTTTGCTTGCTTATAATTTTCCTATTAGGTTGATCAAGCCAAGACATTTAGAAGCTTCAGGTTTAAATAGAGAGTAAAGACTTTTGGAGACAGAGGGTCAAATGCCAGTTCCAACACTCACCTGAATTATCATTAGGCAAGTCACTTAACCTCTCCTAGACCCATTAGTAGATTTATTAGGAAAGGATTTAGAATACCTTATTAATATGCTTGGGATAAAGTCCAAATTTAACAATGAATATAAACATCAAGGATATCTGCAGGTATTTATAAAGATTTATTCCAATTCCTCTATCTTAGAAATAAATTAAAATATAGAAATAAGCTATCCTTTTGAGTGCTGTAAGTCCTATTTATTGTAGAAATTTTTCAAAATGAAATAACCAAAACAAAACAACTTTTAAAATTCATATTTGTGTGTCCCAGAATTCAGCATGGTAAATATTCTAATATGTCTCTCCAAATATAAGTAGATATAAATAAATAAAAATGAATGTGTGTGTATCCATGCACACACACACACACACAAAAACCTTTTCCTTTTGTTTTTTCCCCTTTAATTTTTTCTTGACGTTTTTTTTGTTTTTTGTTTTGATTTTCATATCATTAAAATTTCTCTAAAGCATTACTTTTAGGGGATGTTTCTGATTTATCAGACAGATGTGTATGATAATGTGCTCACTAATCCCACAGGGCTGGTCTTTTTTATTAGTTTCTATTTTAATCTAAGCTGTGTTAAACAATCCACTGCCAAGCCCTGAGGCACATCCATAATTATGTCCTTAGGACAAATATTATTAAGTGAAAATTGCTACGTCAAAAACTATGGAAATCTTTCAGGGTTTTCATATATATGCATAAATTGCCTTCCAGAAATGTGTCTAAGCTCCAGATCACTCACCTACAATGGATGTCAATGTCATCCCTGCCAATTGGTTACTCCTTGGCTATCACATCCTTTCAGTGCTTATGTGCATTGTCCTGCATATTTCAATAAATTGTTCTTTACTAATGATATCAATAGAAAATCTGCTTTTTTTAAAATATGGGAACTTTATTTTACCTTACCTTGTATGATAGTTTCTGTATAACAAACTTCAGCCTTCTAGAAAGAATATCCCCAGGAAATACTACATGAGTTCTCATAGGCCATTAGTGATCAGTTATTTTAAAGAGAGTTTAATGTCCTGGATTTAACAGCAGAAAGATAAAACTAAAAGGAATAATGGTATAGAACTCCTGTTATTAATAACACTACTTAGAATATAGCTGTCACTTCTCTAAATTTATAAACATAAATTTAAATAAAGAATTTTTTTCATTTGCTTACAATACCTGTCCCCAAAGATGTTTTATCCCACTTCTTTGTTCTTTCTCCGTATACCCTTCTCATTTTCCATTTACAAACATGTGATTCTTGAAAAAAATTTTTCCCCTTTACGACTGAAGAAATAAATTGAATTCTGTTAATTTCTGTGTTAATGTTTCAGCTACTATATTGGGCAATGATTAATTCTTCATCTATCAATCTTTTGTAAGAAAACCAGATTTCTGAGATTTCCTGAATTTTCCAGATAGATTTCTTTGTTCTTATCTTGACCTTGTTTATCTTCCTTTGATTGGTTGGAAAGGCCATGAGTGTCTCTCTTAATTTACAATGTTGAATTTCCTTTTGCTCTCTCCTGGGTCTCATTTCTCCCAAACAATTCCTTGCACATCATTGAGCAAGAGAGACACCAAGGATGGTGGAAAGATGTACAGCAAGGCTGGCTGGCTGCCTCCTACATGGCGGCCACACTGGACCATCCCACCCTGCTCAACCAGACGTCCTCCACAGCTACATTTGTGAAACTACAGCCTGCTCAGAGCCTGCAAGAAAATAACCCAGAGCCTGGACAGTCAGAAGAAGCAATTACTTGATTTATAAAATAAATCTTTATATATATATATTTTTTTTTTGAAGACATACACAGCCAAAACATTTTTGAATTCATGATTTTCCCCCTAGACTTTAAGTATTATAATCTTTTCCTTTTCTGAATCTTAGACATCTTCATTATGAACCAAAAGATCCAACTTGAGATTTTCCCAAGGTCTATATTTTTCATTCTTATTAGAGGTGAAAAAGTGAAAATGGCAATCTGTGATGTCTCTTTAGAGTCAAAACCCTTGTAAAAATGTACCGTGCTTTCTCTCCCCACCCCCTTTTCCCAGTCAGAGCCTAAAGAGTAAATTGTTGCTAAGACTATTAAAGGATCATTTTTAAGACATGGTATAATTGAGACTCTTATGCAGATATAAAAGGAACAGGTGTTGAAGATTTTATTAGCTTTTTAATTAATAAAGGTACAGGTAAAATGTTCCAATTGGTTTAAAAGAGATTTCAAAGAGCGGAGGCATTTATAAGAAATTAGCAATTCTGAAATGAATTTACAAACTGATATAAAATGTGTCTAGCCACAGAGCAATAATCATTTACATTCCACCAGACACATTGATTTGCATTTTTGTGAACAAGAGATGGATGAGCTAGACAGGATAGCCACTCATTTTTTTGTTTTGAGCCCATTTCAAAGTCTCAGATTTTTTCCTTACTAGACTATCCATCCCTAATATTTCTTTATATAAATATATGTGTGTGTATGTTTGTGTACATATATTCCTCTGAAAATCCCTTTCTAGAACTATTCTTTCACAGAAAGCAATAGATACGTTGTCAGAGTTTTAGTTATGGGGTAACTAGACTTTCTAGCATGTTGATAATTGATGGGTATATATAACATTCTTAATTCCTATGCAAAAAAGCAAGAAGTTTGTAAATAATGTAAAATTCTGCTGTTCAAAATATGTACATTTGCAATCATCTTAGTTATGACAAATGAGTCATTTAGGTTATACTTATTTGGAAGAGGGGAATGCAAGTCTAAGATCCTCCTAACAAAGTCATACTGGGAAAAGATTGAGAGAAAGGATAAAATAGTGAAGTGGAATTCAGTGAGAACTAAGCATTAACTAAGTGCTAAACACATCACACAGTATTTAAATTTCAGTAAAAATTTTAAAGAAAATATCAATTTCTTCATTTCACAGGCTGAGAAACATTAAGTCATTTAACCAAAGTAAAATTGAGATTAAAACTCAGATAGATTTTGATTCCACAAAATTGTTTCTGTCCACTCCCAATGAATGGGTAAAAAAAAAAAAAATGGTGGCTCAAGGTCAGATAAAAGCTTCTCATAGGTAAAGGGTAAAATAAATAAGTCTTAAAATATTAGCACTATATAAACTTCTCTTATCTGCCTGAGAAACATAATAGATAAGGCAGAGGAGCTCTGGGGAAGGGGAGATATAGACCTGAATTCCACCTGTTCAGGCTTCCACTTTCCCTTTCAATTATCTCCTGAGGCTTTAAGGACCCCTTGAAAACAATTTCAAATCCCTGAGCTCATCCATCTTATCAAAAACACATCTGTGCATTAGAACCATTATTAATAAACAAGTGCTCATCCCTGTTGCCTTTACTGAAAATAAGAGTTGGGCTTGAACTGTTTTTTGTGGTTTTTTTTTGTTTGTTTTTTTAAATTTCAAGTCCAATGCCTTAACCAGACAGCCATCAGGTTGGATTAGGGGAGACTTGCCCTCTTCTGGTTTTCTGAACTCACCCATCTAGAATGAAGAAAGCCTTTCCCAGCTTTCATTGTGGAGCATCTCCATATAGAAGACCATCTTGAGAGAGCTTTATGGAGAAAAGCCAACCTGAAGTCAGAGTCTAGTTTGCCTAGAGGAAGGCAAGAGATAGAAGACAGGGTGTTTAATCCAGGAGTAAAGATGTCAAGCTAGAACATATCTCTTTACCTCCTACATCAAATCTGCTACTGGGTCCATAGAGTTTTCTCCTAATCATGTACTGTTTGGAACCTAAAGGAGCCTTCCAAATACCTCCAGACACACTAGCAGCTGCAACAGTATCAACTGGTATACAATAGACTAGGTTATGCTGGAAAAAACATACAATCTCCAAATCTCAGTAGATTACACAACAAAATTGAATTCTTAATTATGCTAGATATCTGTATTAGTCAATGTTTTCCAGAGAAACAGAACTAATAGGATGGATGGATGGATAGATAAATAGATATTAAAAAGATGTTTACTATAAGGATAGAACCACATAGTTATAGAGGCTGAAGTCCTAGGACATGTCATCTGCAAGCCACAGCCAAGAAAGTTGGTGTGGTGTAATTCAGTTTTATTCCAAAGGCTGAGAACCAAGGGACCCCATGGTATAAGTCCCACTCTGAGGCCAAAGGCCTGAGCACCAGGAGCTCTGATGTCCAAAGGCAAAAGAAGATGAATGTCCCAGCTCAAGCTGAGAGTGTAAATTTGCCCTTCCTTTATCTTTTTGTTGTATTCTGGCCATCAGTGGATTGGATGGTGCCCATATTGGGGAAGGCAACCTTCTTTATTCAGCCTACTGATTCAAATGCTAACCTCTCCCAGGAGCACTCTCACACATCCAGTAATAATGTTTTACCAGCTATCTGGGCATCCCTTAGCCCAGTCAAGTTGACATAAAAAATTATCATCACATTATCCATTGCAATCATCAGAGGGTTATGCTCACCATGGTCCCTCCATGATGTGCACATCACTGCAACACATACTTCCACAATTTCCCCAGCAGTGGGGGTAGAATGGGATCTTAAACGTTTAGTTCACATGTGATGCATATCACTTCAGTCATTTCCTTAGCCAAGGCAAATTACATGGCTATATCTAGCTTCAGAAGAGCAAACAAGTGTTATCCCATCATGCTGTACCCAGGAGAACCAGTATATCTACCAATAGCCTCAATGACCACCACACTAGGATAAGACCCAGCACAGTAGAACTCTGAATTTGCAGGATATACAAGTACATGATTTTTAAAGTGTATTAAGCCTTGCGTCTCCATAATTCTCCTTTATGTAGATATGACTTTTTGTCCCCAGTGTTTCTATCTTTCTCAGTGTCTCTCATTGTTCTACAGACCCTCTCACCTATGGTTCCAGTCTCATCTAGTTCCCCAGTTGCTTCTGGCCACCTCTCATTGGAATTGTACTACAGGCACTGCCTGACCAAGGGACCGTTGCACAGGCTGAGAGCTTCCAGCTGCTCTGCCCCACCCTCCAATTGGGACCCATTTTGACTATTGGCACCAAATGCATTCAGCATGACTTTGCACAACTTGTAGTACACTGACATTTGAATTGTTCTCTCAACCCAAAAGGGAGGTCACCGCAGATCCTCAGATGCCCTAACTTCTTTTGTTTCGCCACTGGTCTAATGCTTAGAACTCTGAATTCCTCATAGCAGCATATTTAGTTATGATATATCACAGCCTTCACCTTCTAACTCCCAGGTCTCATAAATTTTTATGTAGCCCTTTGCATAAATAGCAAATGTAGTTTACTTACCTGTTGGGTTGGTGCTGAACTCTTGAGGGGTGGGAGAAGAAGAGTGTCTATGTGAGTGATAACCTCAACATGTTCTCCTTCCTTCTGTCCACCCCTGGTCCATCCTGCCCTCCTCCACAGTGTGTGGGTCACACTGTAACATTTACCGAATGGCTGAAAGGGCCAAGGAGAGCAGACAGGTGTATGCTCCCTTGCTGCAGGGTTACTCCATTGAGATGGTTTGACCGTTTTCACTAAATTTTCTAAAATCCCTTAGAAGAATATTTGAATATTTAAAATTCATCATTCCCTCACTACACTATGTTTGGTCAATGCCGTTGAGCCACCCCAAGAGACCTTCATTTGAGAAAGCTGAAACACAAAAATTGATTGGCCTGTATGTGTATTCTTTGTAATTCTTTTGATTTGTCACCTTTTGACTGTGGCCTAGGGCCTATATTAACACTCAAAATGAGAGGACTTCAGAGGGGGAGGCATCTAAAAATATTCGCCTCTGAGAAAATCTCAGGATAGTGTAAGTGAATTTGGAAGTTCACTGGAGACCCACCCCACCTTTCCGTGTCCCCACTCACTATCTGCCTTTATCTCTACAAGAGCTACTAAATATTTTCTCTGCTGTAGCGTGGAAAGACATGGTATATGGAAAGCACTCTAGGATCTAGTCTTAGTTCAACTGCTTACATTTTATACAAAAATTGGGCAATCACCAAAACTCCCTGAATTTCAGCGTCTGTATCTGGTAAAGGGGGGTAATGTCCCCTGCCATGTTCGCCTTCACAGGAAGTTTACTTTGCTAACATTTAAGATAATAACTGCCAGAATTTGGTGAGCACTCTGCTAAGGTTAGATTGCATTGAATCTTCACAGCAATACTATAAAGTAATTATGATATTGGCTCCTTTTTAGGAGAGCAAGCTGTGCCTTTGTGATTAAGTGATTCATACAGTCACAGAGTTGGCAAATGGTTGAGCTGGTAAAAGCCATAAATTATATTCAATCTGACTCTGAATTCCAAACTCTCAACCTGTAGGGACTCAGCTCAAATAAGCTAATGAACTGGTTCAAAGCATAGGAAAGGCTGTGCAAGTGTGAGAGACGGCTGCTGTCTATAGTGCACTCTCCATTTCAGAAGAAGGGACCTCAGTCCAGGATTGGATGAAGTGGGGGAGGGGCAGCGGGATGTCACAGGTACCTGACCCAAATGGAGCTAATCAGATTCTGTTCTAGAAGATTCTAATTGTGAAGTTGTGATTTTGTCAGTCTGGACTAGTTGTTTGAATTGAGAACAGGTACACGGTGGAGGTGTTGGTCTGGAAAGCAACCAACAAATGATAAAGATGCTGATGATAGCTGTCTACATCCAGGTATAGCCCCTTTTAAAAATCAGAGTCACTTCCTGCTTTTCAGTACCATAAACCAGCCCCAATTTCTCCCCATTTCTTTTCTTACTTAATCTATTTTGAGTATCTTTGTGTTACTTTCTCCAAAACTTAACATCACCTGTTCAAAACATCTCTATTTTCATCCCAAAAGTAATTTCCTTAGCCTCTTCAGGTGTTCTCTTTCAGAAGTCATTAGTCATTTTAGTTGATTGTAGAAATACATAAAAGGTCTTAACTTTACGATGGAGTGGTCAAGGGTACTAGTTTTGGATTGAGGTAGGCCTGGGAGTGACCAACTTCATTTCTGATCAGCTACATGACCTCTAACAAATTATCTGTTCTGAGCCTCAATTTCCTGATGTGCTTAAGGAGAAACAGCAGCTACTACTTGGTAGGGCTGTCAGGAAGCATAAAAGGCAGAGTGCATAGCATGGATGGCATATCGTTGCACACATTGAGGGCCTTCAATAACCTGTAGCCACCAATATTGTGCTCTTTTTTCTAATTTTATATAATCTTTCTGGATTTGGGTTCTGCAAAAGCCACTCCTTGTACCCATTCACAAGTACTAGGTACATGGAACCCACTGAAATTTCAATTCTTGGCCAGTTTCCTCTATTTAAACTCTCTGATCAGAATTCAGTCATTTTAGGATTGAAAGCCCTGATTATCCTTTGTTCTCGAAAGCACTATCACTCTTGTTGGCTTAAGGCCAACCTGATTTCTGCACTGGAAGAGCTGCTTTTTGCTTGGAAAAGGCTGCCGGCTGCCGGGAACTCCTCAGATACTGCTGTCTTCACTGCAGATGGCAATAAACAGCTGTGGGGAACGTGTTAATTGGTCTTGATCCATGTCATCTTCTGTCTCCTTACTGAGTCAATGCCAGGTAGACAATGTCAGCAAACAGACAACAGCGAAAGTTGTCCTGATGCAGGGTAATAAAGAGCGTCGGCCTTGGCTCGCTGCATTTCTACTCAATCTCCTTGACAGAATAAAGATCCACACACACGTTTTAATGGCTAGGTTAATAAACGTATGGACATTACTTCACCTACTTTGTTTATCAACCATCTGCTTAAGAGGTGGAAAATGATTTACTGCTTTGAAGTTTATTTAAAAACCACTTCCCGGAGCTGGAGAGAGCTGCTCTGTGGCGCAACACCCTGGCCAGATCTCTAAATACTGGCTTGTGTGGCTGATCCTCCCAGTTTACAGATCTCCCCCTTGCTGAGCCTAAATGCTGAAAGTGTGGTTCAGGGATTGATGCTGGGGCAGATTACCGACTGCTGAGGACCAGAAGGGGTGGTGATGGTGCCATGAGTACCTTCCCTACCACTGTCTGTGCAATCTGGGATAATTTGCCTAACCTTTTTGAGCTTCAGGGTCTCGTCCCTAAAATGTGGAGATGGATAATAATACCTGCTTTGCAGATGTGTGAGCAATAAAGCTTATGCACAGCTATCTATGGTAGGTGCTGATAAAAACATAATTGTGATTGATGATGATGACAATGACAGTGATGTTGGTGAAGTTGAGGGGCTTAGAGTCCTGTTATACATGGGGTTGGTAAGACATTTGGAGGCTATCTGGCTCTTTTAGCCAATGGATAGTAGGAACTATCTTTTGGCTTCTTCAATCTTCTCGCCTACTGCTACCCCATAGTCTTGCATCTGTATTTTTGTTAACTCTCCTAACACGAGCTCTCCCAACTGAAGTTGCACCCATGACTTGGGTCCTATGCATACATCATGACACTTGAAACAGAGGCTTATTTTGTTCTAAATTTGCAAATGCAGTTGATCCTTATGTCCTACCTAAAACACTCTCAGTGATGCCACGGTCTTCCAAAGTCGCTTATACAAGCCCCTGTCAGAGCCGCTGAGGAAGAAGCTAGCTTGAAAAAACTCACATAGAATTCCTGTTGGCTCTCCAGGGAGCACTGCAGCCCCTGCCGTCAGCTCAGAGAGGTACTTTGATTAGGCTCCTCTTCTTCTGTAAGCCATCACTATAAGCCTCACCTGTATGTTAGATGGTCCAGAAATTGAGGATACATCGAATGATGCTCACAGGGGAAGTCAAGCCAAAATAGTGGCACCACTCTTTCTCTGGAAGCATTTGAATTGCTACTATAAGATATTAATCTTTGTGTTTTAGATTTTCAAGTCTCAAACTATAAATACATTGCTCCTAATCATTTTAGGAATCTAGCCAAAACAATATTCACCAAATCACTTTCAGAAGGCCAATGAGGAAGTCCAAAACACAGCAGCTACACCCACGGATTTCTATTTTTCTAAGTTGACAATTAACCTCCGCATTTGATTTCAGATGATAATGAATAGTTTTATATGTCCAGCAAAATGTTGCTAACCTCAGCCTTTCTTTCATAAGCTCATTATTTGCTAACGATTTTCTTGGCCACAAAACTCATAAAATTCCCTTGAGTTACTTTATTTTTGTAAACTCTTAGGACGTTTGTTCCATTTGTTCAGCATCTGTGCCGGACAACATCTGGAGCCTGAGGAAATTCCACTATTCAGGGTATGACGCGTAAATGAAATTACTTTTTCATGCACTTCAGAAGAGATTCAAGAGCATCTTTCTGACCAAACAAGCCCTTTTGTTCTCCTCCAGCAAGTGTTTCTCATTAAAAATGTCATCTCCCTAATAAATTGCCTTATTGCCCCTGCAGCTGGGTCTATTGTTTTCATGGTTTTGTGCTCACTCTGATTCTCACAGGGAACAGAAAGCAAGAGAAAAATGGGACTTTTCCCCCATTCTGTCTGCATAAAATGCCTTTCTTTCACCCTTTGTATTTGAATGAGAACTTTTCTTTCATTGGAGCCTTCTATTCTTCCAATATTCGCTGCTTTGGCAAATTGTCCTCAAATGCATCCTGTCAGATGTCCTTTTCCTACCTAGAGACTGCATGGTGGATGCTTAGCTCTAGGAATCCCAGCCCACGCCAAAAAAAAGGTGGCACTTTTTGGATTATATCCTAGGGATTTCCTTTTGGCAAGCACTATTCAATATGTCCAGTCTGTGGTCTGTGATGTAAGAATATATACATCAATATTAGGGAAGGTGAGGATAGATAAAGGAAATTGAGGACAAGAATGGGGGACAGGATATTTGGTGGGGGGTAGGGGGAAACTCAAGGATTTCCTTAGAAGCAACACAAAAGAGAGCAATCTTAGAAACATTCAATCCAAACTAGGTCCCAAGAATTGAGGCATGAAAAAAAAATCTGTTTGTCGTTGTTGTTGTTGTTGTTGTTAATCTCTGGTCAGAATTAACCTCAAATGTGAAGAGTTTGTCTTTACTGACTTCTTTTCCTCATACCCCTTAACCCCCTCCTCTTAATTCCATGGCTAACATTTTACCCACTAGGTCTGCTGTGGCTTTGTATATTCAACTCATTTCCCCCAGTTATTAAATCCACTTTCTATCCATTGTTTTATGTAACAAGAAAAATAAGAAACTCCTAACATAAAGAGATAAAAGACATTTCAGGAACATAAATTGCTCTGCACTAGGAATTCTTTTGGAATCTCCAGGCTTCTTTTGACTTTTTCAAACCCTAGACAGGAAGGATGCTGGAGACTAGTGGACGGAATTGGCAGGCCGTCACAAGTCGGGTGCCTAGGTTCATTTTACATGCAAGGTCTCAGAATTTTCTTCACCAAATGCAAACACAGGCTACCATTAACATCTGCCCTTGTGATCCTTTTGCAGCAAAGCAGCAAATCTCTGAGGCCAAGGTCGATGAGCCCTGCGGGCAGCTGATTCTGTCCTGTGACCTGTAGGCTCTGAGTTTTTGATTGAAGAGATCCCGCACGGGCATCCACCCTTTCCTGCCAGGCATCTGCGCGAGGCACTCTAAGGACCTCTGGGGGCACACAGTTCAGTCCAGCAGCCATCTACTGAGGGTCACAAAAGCCCATGTCCAAGTCTATGCCAGCACCATCAACATCCTGCCTCTGCCCCGAGGGTCTTACTGTCTACATGTGGAACAACTTTTTAAATACCTGCACATGTGGTGGTAATTGTAAGTCCAAGTCACAAAAACAGCAAAGGAAGAGAGTTTCACCTTAGCTTGAAAAGCAAGGCAGTGCTAGAGTGGAGTTGGTGATTGAGATAAATTTGGGATGCATCAATCAGAGTTCCCAGATTAGATAAGGTAGGGGAAGGCTTTTCTATCAGAGAGACTAGGCTATGATAAAGCATAGAGGCGTGAGATAGCCCTTTGTGTGTTCTGGTGGTACAGCAGGGTGTGCAAGAGCCATGTGTTCCAGAAGTATCACCCAGGTATTAATGGGGACATTGCTTTAGAGTGAGGACACTCTGGATCTGCAGACATTGGGTTACAGATGTCATCTTTCTTGTCAGCAGCAGCAGAAGAATTTATTGAGCTCCTCCTCTGTATCAGGGACTGTTCAAGCACATTCCTAGTATTAATTCTTTTAATTCCTCAACAGCATTATGAGCCAGAAAGTTCAAGTAACTTGCCCAAGTTCAAGTAACTCACCCCAGCCAGTACCTGGCACAGCAGGACACAGCCCCATGCAGTCTTGTGAGTTCAAAGAGGGAGCTGTAACCACTGCCCTATAGTGTCTGCCAGCCTCAGTGACAGACATTGAGGAGTGAAGGTGGTTTCAGGGGGGTCTGGAGAGGAAGGGAAGGCTTTAAGGTATAGCAATTGGCAAGACTTGCTTAATTCGTCAGGGTGTGGTGGTGATGGAGAGGAAAGAGTAGAAAAATGCCTCCAGGGGATTGCTCCAGCTTGGAAAGCTGTGAGTACCAGGATGCCACCAACAGAGACATGCACTGGTTAGCTGAGTTGCAGCCAGAGGGCCCAATAGGTTACACAGGAAACAGCTGAAACTTTCTCACAGACGGGTTATTTCATTAGTCACCCTACACAACCAACTGTTGCTCGATTAGGGAGCAGATTCCTACATAATATGGCAGAACCAACCATGGCTCCATGCTGTTCCAAAATGTTTGATAGTTCCTTAGTGTATTCCAAACCTAGTTTAATTTGGGATTAAAGAAAAAAATTCTAAAATATAGTTCTAATCACTCTCTTTATCCTAATCTGTTTTTGTTTTTCTACTAAAAGCCCAGTCTCCAATGCACATAGGGCCAGGCCCATGATGGGTGTGGTGTCATTTAGACCCTACATGGTTTACTGGGATTGGCATGGATCTTAGTGGGTTTGAAGCTGGGCCTTAGTAAACTTAGAGGGGTCACTTGATCTCTCTTTTTGTTTCTTGGCCAGTCCTGGGATGACCTCTGACCTACCATCTCGTGGAGAGGACAAAGCTGTAATGACAAGCATTCATTGTGCTGTTTCTAATGCCTCAAATTTTTCTAAGATCTCTGAATCCAGTTTCTTGTTTGATTCTGCAGGAGCCAAGGCACAAGGTACCATTGCACAGGTGTGGGAAACTGAGGCACAGAACAGTTAAGTCTCTTCTGCACGGTCACACTTGCCAAGTTAAGACTGGGCCTGAATGAAACCCCAGGTGGTCTGACTTCACCCTATTAATCAGTGTTGTGATTGATTAGTGTTAGATTGTTAGATTAACAAGTGAGCTTGCTTATATAAAGCACCCGGCACGTAACAAACCTACAGCTGTATTTCAATAAAACTTTGTTTATAAAATGAGGCAGTGGGTCAAACTTAACCAGCAGATGTAAGGTGCTGACTCCTAACATAGATCATAGTGAAATGTAGAAAATAATTATGAAGTGAGGAGTTTTCATTATTTTACCTTTGTTTTTAATATTATGTATTTAATTAATTGTAAGCTTGTATAATTTAGTTTTTAATAATGGTTCTGTTTAATAACTAGATCACAGAATTTCTGAAAACTTAGCAGTCAGCTCCCACAGGCCCATGCAAAGGGTCACAATTCCAGGCCAGCCCCTGCCCAGCTGTGGGAACTGGGACAGATGATCTCAGTTTTTTAACCTGGGAACTAGAAGTGGATCTTGCCCAGCTGTGCTCTGAAGGAACTGGAGACAGTGTATAGGAAGAGCCCAGAGCTATGGGTCACTCAGTGGTGCCCATGGTGATGAAAGAAGAACTGCATTAGTAGGTCACATTTCTCTTTGGTTACAGCCGTAGGGCAAGTCCATAAAGGACAGAGGCCAGGGAAAAGGAAGAGCCAAGGAGGCACAACTTGCTTGTTGTAAGTGCCTCACATGTACCAAACACTAGAAAGTCGATTTTAATCCTTTATTTGCTTAATCCTCGTGATAAACCTCTGAGTATATTGTCGTCCCTATTTTACAGCCATGAACCACAAGATTCAAAGAATTGGACAGTGTCCAAGGTCACTCAACTGGCAGGGACCAGAGCAGAGTTCAGTCCACGTCTGCCTGATTCAAAATGCCCTCTCTGTTGTGTGGGCCAGTCCCCTTAACCCAGGCTTCCCAGAGTAATCAGTGACATCAACCTAGTAGCAGTCCACATTTTATTCTAGTTTATTCCATTTTATCGAATAGCTGGATCAGTCTGTGCTGCTCATAGCGTGCTTCACGCTGACAGTAAGTGCAGGTGGGGCTGAATCGGTACATTGAATATACAAGGCACTGAGCTAGGAACTAGGGATCCTGAGATAAATGACACAGCTTCTTCTTCGAAGGGTTCAAAGCCCAGCCAGGGAGACAGATTGATCAAGAATGAGTACAGCAAAGCACTTGGCAGTGTGGCAGGGAACGCGGGCAGATTACACAAAGAGTAATTGAAGGATGAGATTATGGAGATGTGTTCCTCAGAGGAGAGCCTGCAATTCCTAAAACAACTCTTATTTCTCATCTGTCCCACCTTCTGGGCACCTGCACATGTTGGTAATGATCCCTTCTATCCCACTGTCCTCCTCCCCAACACTACTGTTCCTATTCCCTCCTCTTCATTTCTCGGGGCACACTCGTGGCAGAGCCTCTGACAGAAGCCCTCTGCTGAGGCACAAAAAGTGGGCTGGGTACGTCTCTTGTAGGCTTCCATGGGCCCCTGGGCATGTGCATACTTAATGCAACTTCTTATACTCTCCTGCAACGATTTATTTATGTGCCTGTCTCTCCCATTAGATGAGGAATTACTTAAAGGCAGGGACTATGCTATTTGACTCTGCACAGGTAGCACCAAGCACGATATCTGGTCTATACTCATGCTGGATGAATGCCCAGAGATCGAACAAATGACCGAAGCCTGAGCAGAATCTTTAGGAACATCAGGGACATAACACTGGAAAAAGCAGGGGAAAGGCTAAGAAAATATATTTGACAATCAAAGGTTCAGGAAAGGTTTTACTTTATCAAAAAATTCTAAAGACTCTATCCTTAACAAAAGTTTCCTTTTGTCTCTCTTTTATATCTCATCAGAAATAACAACACCTTTCACTTAAAGTACTTTTCCCTAAAACTTCATTTTTATCTCTTTAGTCAGTTACAGATGTTTCGTAAGTGTAAGTCTGAGAGTCACCCAACTCCATTTGGGAAGAGTCTAGAAGCCTCTGAGAGATTCAGCCTTAATGTTTCCAGCCTCGTCTCCCATTTATTCCTTCCCCAGCGAAACCACCACTCAAGGCAACCTTATGAGTGACTGTGTAACAAAGACATTGCAATTCCATCCCAAACGTCATTTATTTATCTCCCATCTGTTTAAACGTGTAGCCACTGTT